CCTGAAGGACCAGGTGCGCAGCCTGGGAGTCATTTTGGACTCACAGCTTTCCATGGAGGTGCAGGTCCATTCTGGGTCCAGGGCAGCTCCACCTGGTATGCAGGCAAAGACCCTACCTGTCCGCGGGCTGTCTCACCAGAGTGGTGCATGCTCTAGTTATCTCCCGCTTGGACTACTGCAACGCGCTCTACATGGGGCTACCTTTGAAGATGACCTGGAAACTGCAATTAATCCAGAATGCGGCAGCTAGACTGGTGACTGGGGGTGGCCACCGGGACCACATAACACTGGTCCTGAGAGATCTGCATTGGCTCCCAGTACGTTTCCGAGCACAATTCAAAGTGTTGGTGCTGACCTTTAAAGCCCTAAATGGCCTCAGCCCAGTATCCCTGAAGGAGCGTCTCCACCCCCATCGTTCTGCCCGGACACTGAGGTCCAGTTCTGAGGGCCTTCTGGCGGTTCCCTTGCTGCGAGAAGCCAAGTTACAGGGAACCAGGCAGGGGGCCTTCTCGGTGGTGGCGCCCACCCTGTGGAACACCCTCCCTTCAGATGTGAAGGAAATAAGCTGCTACACTATCTTTAAAAGACATCTGAAGGCAGCCCTGTTCAGGGACGTTTTTAATACTTAACACTGTACTGTTTTTAACACTTGATTGGGAGCCGCCAAGAGTGGCTGGGGAAACTCAGCCAGATGGGCGGGGTATAAATAATAAATTATTATTATTTTTAATACATTGCATGCCACTCTAAAAGCCCAGATAATGTACACTGTGAACTGGGCACATCACCTGGGCACCGCAGTCAAAGAAGGATAGTGCCAGGCTGGAAGGTGTGCAGAGGAGAGTCTGGAAGCTAAGCCTTGTGAGGAACGGTTGAGGGAGCTGGGTCTGTTTAGCCTGGAGAAGAGGAAATTGACAGGAGATATGAGAGCCATCTTTAATTGACTCTGGAGGGGAGGACCTGAACCAGTGGATTCAATCTGCAAAAACGGAGATGCCTGCTAATACAGTTGTACGTTGGTTGTCAAACGGCATGGCTCCCGAACAAATCGGCTCCTGAACACCGCAAGTGTTCCAGTTTGCAAATGTTTTTTGGAAGCCGAACGTCCGACACGGCTTCCGATTGAGTGCAGGAAGCTCCTGCAGCCAACTGGAAGCCACGCTTTGTTGTCGTTTAGTCGTGTCCGCCTCTTCGTGACCCCCTGGACCAGAGCATGCCCGGCACTCCTGTCTTCCACTGCCTCCCGCAGTTTGGTCAAACTCATTCTGGTAGCTTTGAGAACACTGTCCCACCATCTCGTCCTCTGTCGTCCCCTTCTCCTTGTGCCCTCCATCTTTCCCAACATCAGGGTCTTTTCCAGGGAGTCTTCTCTTCTCCTGAGGTGGGCAAAGTCTTGGAGCCTCAGCTTCAGGATCTGTCCTTCCAGAGAGCACTCAGGGCTGATTTTCTTCAGAATGGAGGGGTTTGATCTTTCCCCTTCATGGATCTCTGCCTTGCCGTGGCGAAGGGGCCTGAATAACTCAGAGAAGCTATGAGCTCTGCCGTGCAGGGCCACCCAAGATGGACAGGTCATAGTGGAGAGTTTTGACCAAATGTGATCCACCTGGAGCAGGAACCGGCAAGCCACTCTAGTATCCCTTACAAGAAAACTCCATGGACAAAGACAACAGGAAGCCAGGCTATGATAGGAATTTTGAGGTCTTAGATATATGGTAATGTTCATAAGTGTACCAACTAAGCATGTACATAGATCAGCACAGGAAGACCGACCTGAAACCATTTTGATTCCCCAACTGACCAAATGTTTTCCCTGCAAGGAGGGAGGGGGAGGGGCAGGGAGGCTTCCCATTGTCTCAGGAATTGAGTAATCAGCATTTTAATTGGCGACAGACTATCAGGAAAGGCAATCAGATAATCTGGCAAACAGGAAAAACAACATTCAAATTTCTGTTTTAGACCGCCTTTTCTGTGATGTAGGTATGATGTATCTAGGGGTAGTCTTGATCTACAGGGTGGCAATTTCAAAAGTCTATATAAGGCCTCGCGCCATTTTTCTGGGTCCCTCCTCCCTCCTGCGTGTGGGGAGTGAGGACCCTGTTGCAACAGATCAATAAAGATCAGGCTTACTAGCTGCTTTGCTTCTCAATATTCTCTGGTTGGCCTCTGTTATTTTCTCCTACCAATAGGGAACCTACATAAGGACTCTATATGGGCTCTTGGGTACCCCATAAGGGAAAAGGACAATTTTTGTTTACAACAACACCTTGGTTTTCGAACAGCTCCGGGAGTCAAACGGACTCCCGGATTGAGTTCAACACCAAGGTACCACTGTATCAAGAAAAAAGTTTCCAATAATGAGAGCTATTTGACAGTGGAACAGAAGACTCATCAATGGTTCCTCTTCATCCTGGAGAAGAGTGACTAGTGGGGTGCCACAGGGTTCTGTCTTGGGCCCGGTCTTATTCAACATCTTTATCAACGACTTGGATGATGGACTCAAGGGCATCCTGATCAAATTTGCAGATGACACCAAACTGGGAGGGGTGGCTAACACCCCAGAGGACAGGATCACACTTCAAAACGACCTTGACAGATTAGAGAACTGGGCCGAAACAAACAAGATGAACTTTAACAGGGAGAAATGTAAAGTATTGCACTTGGGCAAAAAAAATGAGAGGCACAAATACAAGATGGGTGACACCTGGCTTGAGACCAGTACATGTGAAAAGGATCTAGGAGTCTTGGTTGACCACAAACTTGACATGAGCCAACAGTGTGACGCGGCAGCTAAAAAAGCCAATGCAATTCTGGGCTGCATCAATTCTAGATCAAGGGAAGTAATAGTGCCACTGTATTCTGCTCTGGTCAGACCTCACCTGGAGTACTGTGTCCAGTTCTGGGCACCACAGTTCAAGAAGGACACTGACAAACTGGAACGTGTCCAGAGGAGGGCAACCAAAATGGTCAAAGGCCTGGAAACGATGCCTTATGAGGAACGGCTAAGGGAGCTGGGCATGTTTAGTCTGGAGAAGAGGAGGTTAAGGGGTGATATGATAGCCATGTTCAAATATATAAAAGGATGTCACATAGAGGAGGGAGAAAGGTTGTTTTCTGCTGCTCCAGAGAAGCGGGCACGGAGCAATGGATCCAAACTACAAGAAAGAAGATTCCACCTAAACATTAGGAAGAACTTCCTGACAGTAAGAGCTGTTTGACAGTGGAATTGGCTGCCAAGGAGCGTGGTGGAGTCTCCTTCTTTGGAGGTCTTTAAGCAGAGGCTTGACAACCATATGTCAGGAGTGCTCTGATGGTGTTTCCTGCTTGGCAGGGGGTTGGACTCGATGGCCCTTGTGGTCTATTCCAACTCTAGGATTCTATGATTCTATGATTCTAAGACCTGGGGAGGTGATGCTTTGCTTCATTGGAGGCTTTGAAAGAAGAGGTTGGGTGCCAGGGAGTGCCAGGGATTCTTGGGCCCAGATTCCTGCATTGCAGGGGTTGGACTAGATGACCCCCTGGGGTCTCGTTCATCTCTACAGTTCTACAATTCTGGCAAAATGCATTAGATTGAAATCGAACGCAGCCTTTCCCTGGGTGTCCTTGGACTTGTTTGCCACCACTTCCAACCCCCCCCCCCCGAGTCCATATCCTGCCCCCCCCACCCCAGGAATAACATAAACCAGACTGGGCTGCAGTTCACACACAAAAGATTTAATCACCTCCGAAAAAGCAGCCACACCCTGTGATGGAGGAAGAGGAGCTGGATGGCACTGGGAGAACTGGGAGGGCGGGGAATGGATGATGGCGAGGGGGGGGGGACGGGACAAAGAGGTCAGGGCGATGGCCGGGTGTGGCAGGCACAGGTTTTTAATGTAAAAACTTGTGTTCATCAACACTCAAATGTTTTTTTTTGGGGGGGGGGGTTTGACCTTGAAAAGAAATAAGAGAGTCATGGTTTGGGTAGAAGTTAGAAGAGGACATTTTTGAGGGGGAAGTTGCAGGGGAGGGAGGAGTCTTGCATGACTTTAAATGGGGGTGGGAAAAGGGTCGATTTCAGAGGTTTTAAGGGAAAAGGAAAGGAGGGGTCTGGGTGTCATCAATGTTGGAAGTGGGGCAGGTGAAATGGAGGACCATAGATTTTGGGCGAGTGGAGAGGGAGGGGTGGGCTGGCAGAAATGTGGGCGAAGGCAGGGAAATCGGGGTGGGGGTGGGGCGTCGGTCGACGAGTTCAAATGACTTTTCCGATGAATGAACACACCAAACACAGAATTTCTTTTTATCTAGACCAGCCAGATACAATAAATATAGTAACCGAATATTGTCTCCGTGGGTCCTGGGGGTGGGGTAGGGTGTGCAGCAAATGGGAAGGGGGACCCCCACCCCTCCCTTCCCTTAAGTCGGACCACCACCCCGGTAGTAGTTTTTCTGTGGTCTTATGCTCAGTTCTCTCCTGAAATAATCCCCCCCATTCTCTCCTTTTTTTTATTGGAACAGTTATCAATGCATAAAGAGGAGGAAAGGGGAAAAAAAGAAAGAAAAGGATCTTTGTTTAGTTTTTCGTGTCATCTGTGCATATGTGTCTTTCCTTGGCCTCCCGCCACCCCCCAACCCCCCTCCCCCTTTCCCAACCCTCTTGAGCACTGGCACCCCTAAAACCATCCACAGCCCCCCCTATCTCTCTCTCCCAACACCCTCTTTCCGGGAAACCGAACTTTCTCCCCCTTTCAGCGAAAAAAACATGGTTCAGTTCCCCTTCTCAATCTCTCTCTCTCTCTCTCTCTCTTTGTGGCTCGGTTAAGGCACCGCCGCAGGAGATTCTGGAAACGAGCGGTCGATTGCGGAAGAGGTTGGGGGGCAAAGGGGGGGCGGGCCGGATCCGCCCCTTGCCCCCCGTGAATATTTCGGCCTGTGTCTCTCTCTCCCCCTGGCCACCTTCCCTGCCTCCCTTCCTTGGTTGCTCTGCCCCCAACGAGTTGTGCGTCCGGCAAGTCCCTCCGTCCGCCCCCCCCTCCCCGCCGCCCGCCCCCCGCTTTTCAGACTGTGCTTTCGAGCATCCATTCTGTGCTGCTAAAAGTGACCCTCCTGTGGCTCAGGGGGTCCTCGTCCGAGTTCAACTGCGAGGTGGACATGTGTCGCTTTGTCCGTGCCCGACGCGGGTAGCTGTGGCTCTGGAACAGCGAGTAGTCCCCGTCAAAGGAGTGGCGGTGATGGTGAGTCCTGGACAACTCGCGCGCGGGGAACCCCACCAAACCGCCGCCACCGCCGCCCATCTTGGCCCGCAACGGCGGCCCCGACCCGGCGTCCTTGACCAAGCACAAGGAAACCGTCGAGCCCCTCAGGGCGCCTTCTGCCTGCCCTTCGTCAGAAGACAAGATGGCCACCGTCTGGAGGCTGGTGGTCATCTTGGAGCCTCCTCGGCTGTCCAGCTCCGTCAAGGCAACGTCTTGGCGGCTGGGCGCCTCTCCTGCAGCGTCCCCCCTCGGAGGAGGTTCCTTGGAGGCCACTTCTTGGAGAGTCTCGTATTTGTCCTTGGAGGACGAGCGGGGAAGGGGGTGGGCGTGAGGCTGGTTCCCGTTGGTCTGCGAGTAGACGTTGCTGACTTTGGCTTTCTTGTGCTCCTCCTGCCCGCTGTAGACTTTGTACCGGATCATGAGGATGATGATGAAGACCAGGACAGAGGCCACGATGATGCCTCCGATGATGATGATCATGGTGCCCCCCAGGAACTGGGTGTGAAGCGAGTGGCACTGGGTGGCCTCGCCCTCCGTGGTGAACTGGACGCAGCCCACCACCCGGGTGGCCGTCAGGGATGTCACCCCGTCATCGTAGACAGCCAGGACACACAGGTCGTAGTCCCGGCCGGCCGCCAAGTCGTTCACCAGGAAGGTCTTGCTGGACGAGGGGATCATCCTGGGGGGGCGAGGAGAGAAGGAGACATTGGGATCAAACAAATCGAGGGTTAGAAACAGCACCCAGCCACCCCTTCGTCTCTCACGGGCATCATTCCTGCATGGCTTAGGGCCCTTGTATCTACGGGACCGTCTCTCCTGGTCTGCCCTGCAGAGGACCTAAAGGTCCATGAACAACCATAGTTTAGAGGTCCCGGGCTCTAAGGAAGTCAGACTATCCTCCACCAGGGCCAGGGCCTTTTCAGTGGTGGCTCCGACCTGGTGGAATGCTCTGTCCCAGGAGACCAGGGTCCTGCAGGATTTAACCTCCTTCCGCAGGGCCTGTAAGACAGAGCTATTTCACCTGGCTTTCAATTTGAATTCAGCCTGATCTTTTATTTCCCTTCTCTTCCCTCCCCCTCCCCTTTTATGAAGATTCCCCGCTCTGGGACCCCACAGCTAATTCTCCCCTGGCCTCCTCGCTGGCCCAAGTAGGACCAATTCAGCCAGCTAGCCCTGGGGATTATCTAATTGATTTTTCAATTTTGAATTTTATTGTCATTCATGTTTTTACACTGTATTTTATGCTGTCTTTATAATTAAGTGTTTTAAAGTGTTTTAAACTTGTTATTAGCCGCCCTGAGCCCGGTTTTTGAACTGGGAAGGGTGGGGTATAAATAAAAAATTATTATTATTATTATTATTATTATTATTATTATTATTATTATTATTATGTAACTCTCACAGAATCATAGAATTGTAGAGTTGGAAGGGACCCTGGGTCATCTAGTCCAACCCGCTGCAATGCAGGAATCTCAACTCAGCCATCCATGGTAGATGGCCACCCAACCTCTGCTTAAAAATCTGCAAGGAAGGAGAGTCCACCACAACCGTTCCGCTGTCAAACAGCTCTTACTGTCAGAAAGTAATGTTTAGTCGGAATCTCCTTTCTTGTAACTTGATGCTGTGGGTTTGAGTCCTACCCTCCAGAGGAGGAGAAAACAAGCTTGTTCCATCTTTCACATGACAGCCCTTTTTATACTGGAAGATGGCAGAGGAGGGCAACCAAGATGATCGAGGGTCTGGAAACCGAGCCATATGAGGAACGGTTGAGGGAGTTGGGCATGTTTAGCCTGGAAAAGAGGAAACTGAGAGGAGATAGGATAGCCATCCTCTAATATCTGAAGTCACATGGAAGATGGAAGAGCTTTGTTTCTGCTTCTCTGAATCATCATCAAATATTTATTTTTTTGGCAATCACTCATATCTGAGTAAGATTGCTTTTCATGAACATGGTCTTAACAGTGAGTCCGTAAGTGACTGCGGAGGCCAATTCTGGACCCACACGTCCTTCCACAGTGGGGACATTGGTTTCCAGGCGGGAGTTGATCACGGTGAGGGTTTGCCAAGCGTGCCTTCCTCTTAGCACGTTTCTCCCTTGCGTCCTGAGTTCGAGTGTCTTCAAATCCCATGACACCTTTGGTGAAGGCTGTTCTCCAACTGGAGCTCTCGCAGGCCAGTGTTTCCCAATTGTTGGTGTTTATACTACATTTTTAAAGATTTGCATTGAGACGGTCTTTAAACCTCTTTTGTTGACCACCAGCATTACGCTTTCCATTTTTAAGTTGGGAATAGAGGAGTTGCTTTGGAAGACGATCATCAGGCATCCGCACGACATGACCAGTCCAACGAAGTTGATGTTGAAGAATCCATCGCTCCCAGCCACTCTGAGCCCAGAGGACCTGAACCAATGGCTTCAGATTGCACCAAAGGAGATTCCGACTGAATGTCAGGAAGACCTTTCCGACAATAAGAGCTGTTTGACAGTGGAATGGTCTCTCTTGGGAGCTTGTGAACTCTCCATCCTTGGAAGTTTTAATGCAGAGGTTGGATGGTCACCTGCCATGGATGTTTAGCTGAGATTCCTGCATTGCAGCAGGTTGGACTAAATGTCCTTCAGGGGTCCCTTCCAACTCAACAATTCCATGATTCTAACCCTACCTGGCATCTTTCCTTAAAACGGAGTGGGGAAATGATATATAATGAATTGGGGAAAAAATGTTTAAAATAACTTTTTCTTTAAAACCCCCCGAAACCTTTCTTTTAGGATTTTTAGGCGCCGAAATCCCAAAGAAGCAGAAAAGACTATATATGTATGCGACCATGTTTGCGTGAATATTACTGGCCCAGAAATGGAAAAAAGATAAAGTCCCGACCAGAGAAGAATGGCAGATCAAGTTGATGGATTAATGGCAAAAATGACTGGAAGAATCAGAAATCAGGAAGTCCAAAATTTTAATAAATATTGGGGGAAATTATCTTAAAAACCATTGTAAACAGTTAAAATTGTTAGTAGGATTGGAATAACACTTGTAGTTTAATGTTGAATTGTGGATATAATGGAGATGTAAAAGATTTGGATTATTATAAAAGATGCAGGAGGAAATGACTAATAATAGGACCACAAAGGGGGGGGGGAGTCCAGGAGATTCCTTTAATCTTGTTTTTATGTTCTTCGTGTGCCTCCTCTGAAAGAGGTCCAGAGGGCGTCAAAATGAGAACGGGGCCTTTTCTGCAGTGGCTCCCTGTCTGCGGAATGCTCTCCCCAGGGAAGTTCGCCTGGCACCTTCACTATACACCTTTAGGCGCCAGGCAAAAACATTCCTTTTCAACCAGGCCTTTACCTGATTCGATCTACATCCTATACCCTTTTAAAAAATGCTAGCTCTTTTGGGGCGGTTTTATTATTATTGGGTTGCTGGTTTTGTTTTGATTTTATGTACAGTGGACGCTCAGGTTGCGAATGTGATCTGTGCAGGATGCATGTTCGCAACCCGCAGCATTCGCAACTCGTGTCTGCGCACACGTGGGTTGCGATTCGGCACTTCGGCGCATGCGCGATTTAGCACTTCTGCGTATGACCGCTGACACCTGGAAGTAACCCGTTCTGATACTTCCGGGTTTCGGCGGTCCGTAACGTGAAAAAACACAACCTGAAGCAGCTGTAACCCGAGGTATGACTAAGATTTTAACGGTGTCAAATATAGAACAAATATTCATAAATGCACACATATCTAAATATATGAGCCATGCGTCTGAAATAGTACAGGAGAGCAATCCTGAAGCCATTTTGACACTCCCAATGACCTCAAATATTCCTGTGCAGTAAAGGGAGGCAAATGGGGAAAGCCTTCCCATTGTCTTTTTGCTTGCAAATCCTGCCTTAAGGGCATATTTGTGTATGAATAGGGTGAACCTGTGACCTGCATTCAGGAACTAAACTATTAACCATCACAAAAGAATGGCTGGGCTACCCAGGTAATGCCCATTGTCAGGTATCCTGGCAGACAGGATTTCTGCTGTAGAGCGCCCCCTTCTGTGATGTATGTATGATGTTTTGGGTGGTGTGAACCGCCCTGAGACCTTCAGGTATAGGGCAGTATAGAAATTAAAGTAATAATAATGATGATGATGATGTATGTTAGATATGTGGTTGTAAAGCTGTAATTTGAAAAAAACCACACCAAATAAATAAATTAAAAATAAAGTGAAATAAAACAGAGGTGGGGCAGGAGAAGACAGATGCTCAGCACCTTCCTGTGCACCCTGGCAGGCGAGGGATGCAGAGGATCCGGGCGGGAGAGGCGGGGGGGGGGCTTGCAAAGTGGTCCACGGACTGCTGAAGTGCCGCACTTCTGCAGAGCACTCGATTAGTTCCCATTTATTAGCAGGAGCGAGTGATGGAGAGGCCTGAGGAGCAGCAGGCAATTAGCCAAGAATTATAGAACCGTGTCGCCAACAGCTGCAATTTTCTGGGGGTGGGAAAGACAGGAGGGGAGGGAGAGGATATGTTGGGGGGGGCGACACACAGATCGCACGTGGCCCAGGCGACCTGGCGGGAAGATGGATTGATCCGGCTGGGAAGGGGAGAGAGCAGGATCCATCATTCTGCCAGCGGAAAGGATTAGCCGGCGTCAGCCTTCAAAGAAACAAGGTATCTGGGCCTCCACACCAGGGTCTTGCTGGGTGCTGGGTCTCCACATCTGTCTCCCACTGGCGGAACATGGCGCCTCTGGAACGGGAGAATTAATCATCGGGAGAGAAGGGGCAAGCTTCTCCTCATGTCCTTGGGAAACTGCCTCCGAGAGGATTGGACAAAATCTGGGAGGAGAAGGCTACCTGTGGCTTCTGTCGGTGGTGCAGGTCCATTCTGTGTCCAGGGCAGCTGTTTACCAGTTCCATCTGGTACGCAGGATGAGACCCTCCCTGCCCATAGACTGTTCTGCCAGAGTGGTGCAAACTGGGCCGAGGCCATTTAGGGCTTTCAAGGTCAGCACCAACACTTTGAATTGTGCTCGGAAACGTACTGGGAGCCAATGTAGGTCTTTCAGGACCAGTGTTATGTGGTCTCGGCGGTGGCTCCCAGTCCCCAGTCTAGCTGCCGCATTCTGGATTAATTGTAGTTTCCGGGTCACCTTCAAAGGTAGCCCCACGTAGAGCGCATTGCAGTAGTCCAAGCGGGAGATAACTAGAGCATGTACCACTCTGGCAAGACAGTCCGCAGGCAGGGAGGGTCTCATCCTGCATACCAGATGGAGCTCGGAAACAGCTACCCTGGATACAGAATTGACTTGCGCCTCCATGGACAGCTGTGAGTCCAAAATGACTCCCAGGCTGCACACCTGGTCCTTCAGGGGCACAGTTGCCCCATTCAGGACCAGGGAGTCCTCCATACCAGCCCGTCCCCTGTCCCCCAAGAATAGTACTTCTGTCTTGTCAGGATTCAACCTCAATCCATTAGCTGCCATCCATCCTCCAACCGCCTCCAGGCACTCACACAGGACCTTCACCGCCTTCACTGGTTCTGATTTGAAAGAGAGGTAGAGCTGGGTATCATCCGCATATTGATGAACACCCAGCCCAAACCCCCTGATGATCTCTCCCAGCGGCTTCATATAGATGTTAAAAAGCATGGGGGAGAGGAAAGAACCCTGAGGCACCCCACAAGTGAGAGCCCAGGGGTCTGAACACTCATCCCCCCACCACC